TATACTCTCTTCTGTTCATCCTCCTTTCTCCCACCCTTCGTCCATCATGGTCGCTAATGGTTCGTGTCTTCCTGTCACTTCCGTGGGTGCCGCTCACACTCATGGCTCTTTTCGTCTTCCTGATGTCCTTGTTGCTCCCTCTATGGTTCACAACCTCCTTTCTATTCGTCGTTTTACAGCTGACAATTCCTGTTCTGTTGAATTTGACTCATCTGGTCTTACTGTGAAGGATTTGGCTTCCCGGCGTCCTCTTCTCCGATGTGACAGCACGGGGCCCCTTTACACTCTTCGGTTTCCTGCGTCTGCTTCTTCCGCTTCGCCCTCCGCTTCGTCAGCTGCTTTTGCCGCCACCACTTCATCCACTACATGGCACCGGCGTCTTGGGCATCCTGGCCGTAATGCTTTGACCCAGCTTAGTCGTAGTTCCGACATACCATGTACTCGGGCTCACGATGAGCACTTGTGTCAGGCATGCCAACTGGGCCGTCATGTTCGTCTTCCTTTCCCTACCTCCTCTTCCCATGCGACCCATATTTTTGATCTTGTACATTGCGACCTATGGACGTCTCCTGTTATGAGCATTTCTGGCTATAAATACTATCTTGTCGTGCTTGATGATTTCTCTCATTATTCTTGGACTTTTCCCTTGCGTGCTAAGTCTGATGCATTCCCCACACTTCTCCACTTTTTCGCCTGGGTGTCTACTCAGTTCGGCCTCACCATCAAGGCCGTTCAGTGTGACAATGGGCGTGAGTTCGATAACTCCAACTCTCGTGCTTTCTTCCTCTCTCACGGTGTGCAGTTACGCATGTCATGTCCCTATACCTCCTCCCGAATCAGAAGGGCCGGCGCATGATTCGCACCACTGAATCGACACCATGCGCACCCCTTCATTCGAGCTTCGCTTCTGCTCACTTACTTAGGCCGAGAGTTTGCACACCTCCACCTACCTCCTTAACCGCCTACCTTCCGTTGCCTGTCCGGCTCCCACTCCACACCACGCTCTCTTCGGTACCCCCCCTCGTTACGATCACCTTCGTGTCTTTGGGTGTGCATGTTACCCTAACACCACTGCCACTGCTCCCCACAAGCTGGCTCCCCGTTCGACTCAGTGTGTCTTCCTCGGGTACTCCCCGGATCACAAGGGGTACCGTTGCTTTGACCTCACCTCTCGTCGGATCCTCATCTCTCGCCACGTGGTGTTTGACGAGTCCATCTTCCCTTTCTCCACCACCTCCCCACCCCCCTCCACCCCCGATCTTGACCTCTTCTCCTGTTTCCCCTTCGACACGGTGGACCAGCCCACCATTGACGCGTTGTGTCCTGCGGGTACTACTCCACCGTGCCCTTGGCACGGCTCCGTGACTCGGCTCGGCGCCCTCGGTGCGGCCCCGACCTGCGCCCGGCCCGGCAGTCCGGGACCGGTTCGCTTGCTCTGCCCCCTACGCCTGCTGGTCCGGAGACCTCGGCTTGGCAAAGACTGGCTGCTACTGTTGCGCACACCATGGTGGTCTTGTGTCTACCACCATAGCGAGTCTGGCCGGCTCACAGCATCCGGAGCCGGCCCGCCACCACCTGCTCGCGCCTCGGTCACCACCGGTGGCCTCTTCTCCGCCGTCGACACCCACGCCGCCACCTCCGCCCCGGTTGCCGTGTCAGGTCACGCATCGGTGTACCACCCGCCTCTCCTGCCTGAGACACCGCGTCATGTTCACCCTATGGTGACGCGCAAGCGCGCGCCGGTACCTGCGCGCCCCTAGCTCTCGCCACATGCCAGGCGAGCCGCGGTCTCTCTCTGTACCCTCTTCCGTTCGCACCGCCTTGTTTGGATCCTCATCAAGCGTCGTGCGCTGATGATGGAGGAGTACGCGGCACTCCTCGCCAACCGGACATGGGATCTGTGCCTGTCACTTTGGCTCCAACGTTGTTACCGAAAAAGTGGATCTGGACACACAAGGCGGCGGTGATGGTTCCCTTGATCGGTACAAGGCTCGGCTGGGTTCTCCGGGTTTCACTCGGCGCCACAGCATCGACTACGATGAGACGTTGATCCGATGGTGAAGCCGGCTACCGTCCGCACGGTTCTCTCACTGGCTCTCTCTCGCTCCTGGCCCGTGCACCACCGGGCGTCAAGAATGCCTTTACGCACGATAAGAGACTGGACCGAGATACCTCTCGCAGCCGACTTCTGCGGCTTCGTTGACTCTTCTCGTCTGATATGGTCTGCCGCTCAACAAGTCCCTCTACGGCCTCAAGCAGGCCCCTCGGGCTTGGTACTCTCGGTTTCTTTGCTTACTGGCGACATTGGGATTCGTGGGGCAAAGTCGAGATACTTCTCTTATTTATCTATCACTGCTGGGCGAGAGGCGCCTTATCTGCTTGCTCTATGTTGATGACATTGTGCTCCACAGCCTCGATCAATCACTCCTCCGCCCGTATCATCACCTCTCTTCAACAGGAGTTTGCTATGAAGGATCTTGGTGTGCTCCATCACTTCCTCGGGGTCACAGTTTAGCCTCGTCCCACCGGTCTCCTTCACCAGCGACAGTACACTCTTGATATCCTGGAGCCTTGGCTGGGATGATCGATCAGTAAGCCCCGCCTCCACTCCGATTGACACTCGAGCCAAGTCGTCGGAGGCGGAGCAACCCAAAGGTTGCACCCCACTTCACGTCTGGGAGCCTTGCAGGCGCGCACTTCATACCTCACCTTCACCAAAGCGAGACATCACCTATGCGATTTCGGAGATATGCCTCCACATGCATGATCCACGAGAGCCCCACCTCATCGCTCTCAAGCGCCTCCTCCGCTACCTCCGAGGCACTTTATCGACTCGGACCGCTACTCCACCGGTCTCTCACTCCACCGACCTCGTCGTCTACTACCGACGCCGACCGGCCAGGTGGGTGTCCAGACACTCGGCGCTCCACTTCCGATTATCTTTGTCTTTCTCAGGCGGCAACTTTGGTGTCTGATCGTCCAGCGCCACCCGGTGGTCTCCGTTCGAGGTTTAGGCGGAGTATGCACATTGTCATGCTACGCTAACGGCGTGGCGGAGGCCTCCTGCTCCGCCCAGACTTCTTGCCGAACTCCACAGGTCCCTCTCCCGAGCACGCTTTGTTTATCGACAACGTCGATCTGGTGTACCTCTCCACCAACCTCCTGCTTCCAGACCAATGGACCAAGCATGTGGAGATCGACCTTCACTTTGTCCGATGATCGGTCGCCATCGGCGATGTTCGGTCCTCCATGTCCCGCCACCTCCCGGTTTGCCGACATCTTCACACAAGGGCCTCCCGTCCTCCACTTTCTCCGAGTTTCGCTCCAGCCTCAACATCACCGGTGGCTAGTTGCGTCTGTGGGGGGGCTCGTGTGTGTTCTTCTTTTCATGTCCAGTCTCCAACTCCGCTGTGTCGGTAGTTCAGACTGCGGGGGGGTGTTGGAGTATGTGTGTATTAAGGCCCATATATGGCCCATGTATGACTCCCATATAGCTACCCTTCCAGGGTTAGCCCAAGTGTAAGGAATTACAATTCTATCAGTTGGAGTAGGGTACAAATAATGTCGGATACTATACAAATGTGGATTTGTCTCAGTTACAAATACGAATAAATTTGTATTGAAAACAAGACAAGTCGGATACCGACACCTTCGGTCATGAAAAAATTCATCAGATATTCAGTAAAGGCAACAACAATATGTATTGCATGTTTTCAATTCTTCAAGACACTTTAGTCAGACACCAAAAAATTATAAATTCTCTCATATTAAGAACACATGTTTAAATTTTAGTCAAATGGCTCTTCCCAAATTTAAAAAAATTGCGAAGTTGCATTAACTGGACATTTGTATTTTGTCATAATGAAGTTGGATTTAAACTTAGTTCATACTTACTTTGAGTTTATTAAAATATTTCAGTGCTATTGAATTTGAACTTAGTTCATACTTCAGACATCTATAGAAAAAGATACAAAATCTACTTCATTTACCTTTTTTAAGCTAAAAATTATCTTGGGCTTGCAGTCCACTCCTAATGGATATCCAATAAAACTATCTGAATTCAATATCCGACTTAGCTATCCGAATTATCTGACCGGATATATGATATCTGATTGATACCGCCCTTCTTATATTCATATCCGATATCCGGGAAAAAAATCCAAATCGTATTCAATATCCAAGAAAATGTCTAGATATACGAATCAACATCCCACACTCCTCGGTCGATCGTACGGTCAGGAAATAGCCGTACCGTTTACAGCCCTACTTGTCACTATTGGGGAATCAACTCGAATTAAGAAATGCCAAGGCAGGACAAAACAATATAGCTCCTAGTTCTCGAAGGGTTCGAAGTATTATTTTTAACTTGTCTTCATGAATACTCGTGGCCAGGTGGAGCTTTGTCCACGTGGTAGAGTATAAATAATTAATCGTTCTTCGCGGATGAGGTCAAAATGCCAAGCTACTCGATTCCCTTCCTAGCAACAGCTTGGGCGCTCTTGCCACATGAAGCACCTGAAATCGTGCTCTTCAAAAAAGTCCACTAAATTTTATTGTTTCATTATTTTCTCATTCCTATTTAGCAAAGGGAAAATTTTCAGACATACAGCAGGGGCACACACAGCAGACTCAGACGGACAGCTCCAATCTTTTCAGTTCCCTAATAAATCGCGTCACAAAACAATATATATCATCCATGAAATCGGATCAAGCTACAACAAACTCTTAATTTAACAATTTGATCGCCCCATAAAGACCCAAATTTCTTTTCTTCAGTAAGATAAGGATATTGCTGCGTTCCAGCATTGAATTCAAAAGGAAATCGCCACCTTTGCTAATTCAGGAATACAATGCCAGCAAAAAGAAATTCAGAAATACAAGAACATAGTCCCCAAATCTCAGAACCCAAAAAAAAAACACAGAAGGTGTTAAACCCTAAGATCCCGCACCAGGGTAACAACTAACAACCCTTAGAACAGCAGAGAAATCGAATCCCGCACCTTTTGTGATCTGCAGCGCCGGCGCCGGAGAGGACGGGAAGGAGCAGAGCACCCGGAACAAGAGGCCGGCGAGCAGCAGGAACCCGACGGCCTTCACCACCAATGGCCCTCCCAGCGCCCACCATTTCCCCACACCGCGGCCCCACGGCGACGGCGGAGGTCCTGACAACCACATCGGGCTCGAACCCATGCTCCAGCGCGAGCGGTGTGGCTCTCAGGGGAGGGAGAGGGACGGGCCTCGTGAGACAACAGGAGGCGAGTGTGACCGACAGCGTCCGTACTTTAGGGCAGAGACGGCGACGTGTCTGCTCAGTGATGTCGATGTCGGCGTGGCGTTGGTCTGCAACTCTGCAATTTGTTTGTGGAGTCGGTGACGATAATGGGCCTGTTTGGGGTGGCTGCCCCGTTCGGGCCCGATTTTTTTTTATTTTTTAGCCTTTTTTTAATTTTCACAAATATATTTTTTTAAGGTATGATTTTAAAATCTGGACCTTTAGCTCGACATCATCGTTGCTGGTACCGAGTTTACACGTCTTGGCGCCATTGTTGCTGCCGCCGAGGTCGGGGCCACGTTGGCGGCGCGGACGGTAACATGGCAGCCAGCTCGGCGTAGTGGATCTTGGCGCCAAGCTCGGCGCCATGAATCTTGACGCCATGATTATTGGCGCCGAGCTCTGTCTTATACGGGCTCGCCCTTCCTTTCTCTCTTCCTCTCTTCCTCTCTCTCGAGACAGGGTGTCGCGTCCGCCGGCCACCGCGCTCGCGCCCGCGCCCGTACCCTCGCCCGTGCCCGCCCGACACCGCGCCCGCGGCCACCGCGCCCTCGCTGGCGCCCGCGGCCACTGCGCTCTCGCCCGCTCCCGTTCCGGCGTCCGCGCCCGCCGGCCACGGCCCCAGGCCGCTCGCGCCGCCTCGCCGTGCCCCAGTGTCGGTGGCGCCACCGTCCCTCGCCCACCGCGCGCCACCGCCGGCCCCAGCCCCTGCAGCGCCCGCGCCCTCGCCGGCGCCCACCACCGCTCCCGTGCCCGCGCCCGCCGTGCCGGCCACCCACGGCCCTAGCCCTCTCCCGCACCGGCACCTGTGGCCCCAGGCTGCTCGCGCCGCCTCGCCGCGCGCCATCGTCGTCGGACAGGTAAAAATTATGAATTTGCAATGTTCGTACTTAGTTAGCTTTGATTGTAGTGTAGTAGTTTTGGCATTTGTTATTTATTAGTTAATGTGATGACTCATGTAGTGGATTTAGTTAGTGATCTAGTGAGATAGATAGAAACATAGATACATAGGTACAAAGATATAGTTAGATAGCTACTTAGATAGGTAGTTATATATTTAGTTAACTAAATAGGATCTGGCTATTTAGTGAGTACATTGTATATATATATAGTTATTATCTTATTTACTTAGTTTGTAGCTAGAAAGTACTTGTTAGGTACTATCTATCGTCTAATTTGGACTGAAGGACATGTGTTTCGTTACGTGTTTGAAATAGATGAACAACCTAGTGACCATATATCATGGAGACACCGTTGAAAGCGATCGCTATGGATATATTGAGTTTGTTGATATGCAAAGTGTGTCTGTGCTATTCAATGATAGGCCTTCATTTAGTGAGATGGTTGCAAGGGCTCGGGAGGAGCTACATTGCCTTGGAGATGATAATGATGGCATTGTAGTTGAGGGTATACTGCATCTAGGTTCTCCTCCCAACATCCTTAGGCGAATAATCCCAATTGGATGTGCGGGTCAGTGGGAGAACTATGTGAGATCGGCTATGAAGAACTAGCTGCAATGTTTGGATGTGGTTGTGCGTTAGGTGTTAGTTGATCCCATCCCTCATGGGTTTCCCCACCAAATGGGTCAATAGACACACTTCGACCCTCCCGTCCCGGAACCTGATATGGATGTGGAGGTTGCACCTACGGTTCCTGATGCTTAATCTGCCCCCAATGAGCTAGTTGGAGATGCTTGTTAGACTCATGATGTTGTGGCAGATCCTCCTCATGAGATCTCTTTGACACAGAATCATCCGAGTAAGTGTTTTATCCGCATGGTTATTGGGAGCTTACCCCATTCCTTACATCCAATATTCCATTCTTTCCTCATTTTTTACTTATTTTGCAGTAGACATTCCTGACAATGTGGATGTGCCCATTGTTGTTGCATAAGTGCTCTGTGGAGATGGATTCCGTGGCTCCAATAGTATTGAAATTATGAATGATTCGGAGCCATATGAGATGGCAAGGGCTCTTGATTCTGATGATGATCGTCCTATTACAGAGCTAACAGAGAGTGATGTTGAGATGTTGAGGCGTATCTTTCCCGGCCGCCGTGATCCAAGAGTTCACGAGTTCAGCGATCTTACTTATTCTGATTAGACATGTGCAGAAGGACATGATGATGAGCTCCTAGAAGCTTCTGAGGCCGGCCCTAACATGGTAATTGAGAATGGAAGGGTATTCAAGGACCTCCCTACATTGAAGAGGTGGTTGCAGGCGTTTGCAGTGATACGAAAGAGACCTTACAAGGTCTTACATTCATATGCGGAGCGTCGTTACATAGTTGTGTGTAACAAGGAACGCTGCCTATGGAGGGTTTATGTAAGGAAGCAAAAGGTCACAAGAAAGTAGAAGATCACAAAAGTTATCGGGCCACACAATTGTGCTAACCATGTGCTAACACTGAAGCATCAGCAGTTAACATCTACCCTCATTGCCAAGTGGTTGATTGGAATACTGCAAGGAGAACCCAACATGAAGGTTAGGACAATTATCAGGACCGTTGAGGCGTTGTATGGAGGTTATGTGATAACATATGGTAAAGCTTGGAGGGCTAAGCAACGAGCGTGGAAGATGATATATGGGGACTTGGAGGATGGGTATGAGCAGCTACCAGTACTTTTTAATGCAATCAAAGCGGTGAATCTAGACATGCATTATGAGTACATCCCAAAACCAAATGCATGGAAGGATGGGAGGTAGATATTCTTCCGTACTTTCTGGTGCTTCCCTCAGTGTGTCGAGGCCTTTAGGCACTGTCATCCCGTCTTCTCCATTGATGGTACGTTCTTGATTGGCAAATGCCATGGCACACTTCTTATAGTCATATCCTGTGACGCGAACAATAAGTTGGTTCCTTTGGCATTTGCTTTGGTTGAGAAGGAGAACAATGACAGTTGAGGATAGTTCTTGAGGCTAGTCCGAATACATGTGGTTGGGCCTGGCAGAGAGGTTGGTGTCATATCTGATAGGCACCAGGGCATTAATCCTGTGCGAGAGCAGATAGAGGGATATGCACATTTGCACCATCATTGGTGTACTCGGCACCTTGCCGAGAATCTACTTCGGAAAGATGGTGTGAAGGATAACTTTGATTTGTTCCTGAAGGTTGCTCGACAGCTTGAGGACAAGTACTTTCAGAAAAAGTTGGAGCATGTCAGAACCGCATCAAATGCAAAAGGTAGACAATGGTTCACAGGTTTGATGAGGGATTTAGAGAAATAGACAAGAGCTCACGACGTCGGTGGATGGAGGTATAAGTTTCAGTGCAGCAACATGGTAGAGTCATTCAATAAGTTGCTATTGGGAATACGTGGTATGCCCATGAATGCAATTGTTCAATTCACCTTCTACAAGCTTATTGTCTGATTCAACGATAGACACGCCCATACATTGAAGTTGTGGAGTGATGGAGCGTGTCCCCTCTCAGCTCTAGGATGCTCCCTCGACTCAACCTACACAGCCGCTAGGCACTAGGCGACGTCGTCCACCTAACCCTTACACTCTAGTTACCAGCGCTCTTGGTCACAAGGATAAGGGTAAGACTAGGAGGCAGTGAGGGTTTGTGGTAGATATTAGTATATACTATTATGGATTTTGTAGTTACTTTTCTATAACTATTTGGGACTGTATGGATATTGTGGACTATTTAAACTATGCAGGACATGTTATGTTGATTGTGATGTTTGATGTGGTTGTATTGTGCTCTTTGGAAGATTAATTGTTTGGATTATATAATGATGTCTTTGTTTGTAACTGTGGTTGCTCCTGAAACAAGGGAAACTCTTGCGATTTTTTTCCGTGAATCATTAATTACACTACACTGCTAAAAAGGAACAAATGTAGTACACAGATTAAATGTAAATTCATTAGAACGTGTATAGTCCAATCGTATCGTACAAACGCTTTGCAGATAAATCTAGGCTTTTCAATAGCAGTGAACGTATCTAGGCTTTTTAGACAATGAAAATAGACTTTTCAGTTACAAAGACGAGGAGTACGATGACAACAATGATTTATCACTCCACTTACATAGTACACCTATATCATCTAGGCTTTTCAGTAACATCGAACGAATCTAGGCTTTTCAAAAAATGAAAATAGACTTGTCAGTTACAAGGACGAGGAGTACGATGACAACAACGATTTATCACTTCACTTACATAGTACACCTATAGGATGGTATCTCCAGGGATCTACCGACTCCTAGGGTCGCCCGCCCCCCTACAGGTTCCCCTTGGGCCCAACCTTGACCAGGTGCTTCTTACCGCCTCTCCAATGTCCGTGGCATGTGTATTCTAGAAGAATTGTATAGAGGAATGTCGGTTTACTCAAGTTAGGAAGGCATGCAAGGAAGCACAACTCCACTCCATCTCCACCATCCATCTTATGACTGTTTGATCCAAGGGCTAAGGTGAAGAGGCACATAGATCGCTGACATGGCACATTGAGAGGCCTCTATTTCTCCTCTCAACCTATAAATAACCCCTCACCCCCTCTCATTCACATACACAACAAGGAAGAAGAGCACTCCTCAGTATTTTCTTTTGTTGCAGTACCAATGTCTGGAGGATCATCCAGAGGGAGAGAAAAGGGGAAGGGAACTACAATTATGTGGGAGGGTTCTCTTGGTCCTGATTTCTTTGAGGAAGTTCTTTATGAGCGGTTCCCAATTAAGAGCAAAAGTGATTTCACCAAAGAGGCACCACTGAGAGGATACGATGAACAGAAAGAAGAGTGACCAAAATGCATGCATGGTGAGGATTGTCTAATGCAGATGTTCACCGAGGGAATAGATGGAGGTCATCGTTTCTTCAAATGCCCACGAGCATGGGTAGTTGCTATTACTATTTGTTTCTTTAATATGTTTCTCTTCTATATAACTTACATAACATACTTTTTGTAGTCTTTCTTA